TATTCTGCTTGCAAGATTCACACATCAAACAAAATGACACAAAGTTTAAAAATAAAAGTGTGCACAAAATACAATGAGAATTCTAAAAAGAAACTTAAGAGCTGTCTCATTTGTGAATATATATTGAAAAGAAAAAAAGCCCTAAATAAAAATATAAACAAATTGAAATTAATCATCTTAAAAGAATAATCCATCTAAGCCAAATAGTTTTCACCCCAAGAACTCAATTATAGCTTAATAATTGGTATCAGTCAATATTAAGTTAGTACAAATAAACTGAATAAAAACCTTGTGATCTATAAAATAACAAAGAAAAAAGCCATCATATTTTAATTGGAAACAGGACATTAATGGTTTTTTAAAAAACGTTTTGGTGTTCATGTATGAAAAATTATGTACCTTCTGAGGCTCTAGGAAAATGCAGATCCACACATAGATATCTCTGAAAGGGGAGGGGAGCCCATGGATGACCTGTAGACACCTAACCTGCAGGTTCTTCCTTTAAAATCAGGACCCATAAAGAGAAGATCTCTTTTCGTCATAATTGTTTAATATTCTTGAAGTTTTGGTAAATATAAGGCATGAAACATAAATAATGATATGATAGTTTCTTTTCAATTAATATTTGTCTGTATCTTTTGCATGCCAGGTACTATAATAAGCGTTTTCATGTATTAACTCACCTGATTCTCACAGGAATCCTATAAAATCAATATAGGTTGGAGAACTGAGGCACAGAGGTAAAGAAACTTACCCAGGATCATACAACTAATACTAATGAATCAAGGTCCTACTGATTCTACATCTTGTGTTTATGACAACTGCGCTGTGCTGGCTCCCTGTTATATTGGTATATAGTGTGGGCAAATAGAGGACTCTTAGGAGAACAATTGATCATTATTGATGGTTCATATGCTAATAGTAGAAAACCTATGTGAGTCAACTTAAAGTGAACAAGTATACAAAAGTCAGCCATTATAGCTAGAAACAGTAAGTTACAACATAGTGCAGAAAAAATAGAAAAATTAACAGGTAAATATTACGTACATAGAAACTATAAAAGTCCTGA